AGAGAATCTGGCCTCACACAAATCCTATGGCTTAAAAGAAACACTTCTAAATTACTTGATTTGTGAACAATTTAAAACAACACAGATGAAACTAGTTTATGATTCCTTTTCTCCTCGAATTTGCCTCTGACCTTACAACTATCGCTTTCTCCCTTTCAGACGTATTCTTTCGCAGTTAAATGCATGTATAAACGTACACTTTGAGGCAACTTGGGTTTTTCCTTCATTTTTGTATGTTACATGAACCTATTCTTTTCGAGAACTGCATGGTATTCCATAACGTGGGTAACCATACTGTGCTGTTCCTCTCTACTCATGAATAAGTTTCCAATTTTTTATTATTTCAGCCCTTCCTTAATAGAGCTGAGGCGTGAGCTTTTTTGCATTGTGCAGGTGCCCCTGACTAGACCCCTAAACGTGGACGAGCCATAAATACTCTGCTTTGCTTTTTGGACTCCGGGAGACCAAACACCCCGAGGCCCACAAACGGCCGGCCGGGGCAGGTTCTCGGCCTCTCACAGGCTCCTCCTTTCCTACTGGACGCTGTTTTTCCACCGTACACACCACAAATCCAAACCCGCCACCAGATGGCCACTCGGCCACCAGGATCTACAACCGCCCGAGGAGGAAAATCCGCCAGCCGCCCGGGCGGGGACGCTCGCTTCCGGGAAGCGGACGGAAGCCGCTGCTCGCTCCTGCGTCAGCCCCGACTTCAGGGACCGTCGTAAAAGTGTCGCCCCGCGTCTGTCCGACGGCCCGCAGGCTTCCTCTCGCCTCCGGCGGGGGTCGGAACTGCTAGCATTAATTTCCCTTAAGATGGCGGATGAAGAGGCCGAGGGTGCGGAGAGGATGGAAGTCAGCACCGAGTTGACCCAAGCCCCTCAGCGACAGGCATCAGTAAGTCTCGCGGGCAGGTCCCCGTTGTCGCCTCCCCATGCCTCGCCGCCACGCTCCGGAGGATGGGGCTTCCTCCCTGATGGCGGCTCTGGGGAGGGGGAGTCACAGACTGATCTGGATGGAAGCCGCCGAATAAGAAGTTAGCTGTCTCCCACCTTCCACGTCTACGGAATTTAATAACTGTCATTTATTAGTCTGGACGAGCTCAAGCACGTCAGTGCCCGTGTGGTGGCTGACTGGGGGACCCGAGGCAGCTTAGTTGGAGAGCCATTTTTTCCTGTCATAAATGCAGCGCCTGCTCCTGCAGATGACAGGAATCCGGGACGCGGCGAGCGGGTTCTTGGCTCACAGCTGCTTAGGTGGGATCTGACAGTGGCGTGGAATGTCGCCGCTGTCACGTCCTGTCCAGAGGTGGGGTGCGGGATTGTAGTCCTTCGGTAAAACGTCTTGAGAACCCTAGGCCTCACGGTCAATGGAAAAACCCATCCGCTGTCCCTGGCTTTTTGAAGAATGAACTGCTGGATATTTCAAGTCAGAGCAATGTCACTAGTTAGCATCGAAATCTATACTTGGCTCTTGTTTTTTGAAAGAATGGGAAGGTAGTGAATTTGAGGCAGTAGCCTGGCTACAGGAAAAGACTGAGTAGGAAGAGTGGTGGAGGCAGTGTCGGGGAATACCCCAGATGCCCCCCCATCTACTGGGGAGATATGGAGGAAAGACTCAAAGATCGTTTGTTTGTCGCGTGGTATATCAGTTTGTCTTTATAGCTGTATACAGAACGAGTTTGGGGTACACATGTCCTCATGTAGTTTGGTTGATTTGTAATTTAAAGCATTCTTTAAGTATTTTTAACCCTGCAGACACTTGAGTGTTGTTTTATGAGACAGCAGACTGAGCAATGGAAATGAGGCAACTACAGGGATGGGAGAGACTGCCTGGGAGATAGAAAGCAGATAGGGACAGAGTTGGAATAAGAATTTGAACTAGGTGAGTGCTTGGAATCTTTCTTTCTTTCTTCTTCTTCTTCTTCTTCTTCTTCTTCTTCTTCTTCTTCTTCTTCTTCTTCTTTCTTCTTTCTTCTTTCTTCTTTCTTCTTTCTTCTTTCTTCTTCGATTGAACTCAGGCCCTTGCGCTTGCTAGGTAAGCGCTTATTCTCCTGAGCTATCTCCCCAGCCCCTGGAATCTTTCTTGATCCCAAAGAAATTCGAACTAACTGCAGAACAAGTAGCAAAGGATGAAAAATGGGGGAAAATGCCTGCAATCCCAGCAGTAGGGAGAGTGAGAAAAGAGGATCCAGATGAGTTCAAGGACAGCCTGAACCACATAGGGAGAGCCCGTTTTTTTTTTTTTTTAAACATTAAGCAGTGAGAAGATATGAAAAAAAGTTTGGAAGCAGCTGACCCATCTTGTGAAGTCAAGGCATTGGGCATGTCTTGAGCTACATCTCTTAACTATGACACATCTCTTAATGGTAAGCTCAGCTACTCAGAAAGCTGAAGCAAGAGGATCACCTGAGCCCAAGTTCCAGGCTAGCCTTGCCAACAGCAAAATCCTGTCTCAATATCAAACATAAGTAAATTATAGCTTGTAGTTTTTACCTGTCAGAAGGAGTGGAGACATGGTGCTGTAATCAGAAAAGTTGGAGTTTCATATTATCAAATTTAAATATATATATATATATAGTCTTGCTATGCAGGGTCTTGCTGTGCAGTTCAGGCTGGCCTTAAGCTCACTTTATAGCCCAGGCTAATCTCAAATTTAATGATCCTCCTGCCTCTGCCTCCCGAGTGCTAAGAGTACACCATACCTGGCCTTTACCACCATACCTGGCAAATTTTATCTATTTTTGAGACAGGGTCTTGCTCTATAATTCAGGCTGGCTGTGAACTCACTATGTAACCCAGGCTGTCCTCAAACTCATAGTGATCCTCCTGCCTCAGTCTCCTGATTGTTGGTGATATAGGGGAAATGAAACTCCCAACATGAAAGGTACCTGGGGTGAGTTCGTGTTCTCTAAAACCAAAGAATGAATTTTAGAACAAATGGAGGTTAAGAGCAGAATATTTATTGGAGGAAAGAAAGCTTTTGTCTGAGAGGGACAGAAAGGGGGCCTGAGTGGGTTGTCCCTGGGAAGCTGTCTCTTCCAGGGACTTTTATAGAGTAAAACCATGAGGTAAGGTGGGTCTAAGGTGGAGAACAGGGAACTCCCCTAGGTAGGCATGAGATGGGACAAAACTATGGTCAACCAATGAGATTACAAGCTTAGGTAAAGTTGATTAAATCCAGGACCAAATGGGGAAGCAAATGGGCATGAATATGGAACAGGCTTTATCCAGTAGCCAGCTGGTAGTGGTTGGATTAGTGACTCTTCCCAGCTTCCTCAAGGTGATGATCAATCCCGGATGCTTATCTTTAGGGAGGTAAACATTTGTTCAATATTTAGTCTTTAGGTCTGGCCCACAGCAGGAGTATCCATCTCTCTCACAGTTGCAGTGTATCTTGTCTTTCATGCTGTCTGTTTGAGGGTTTGGCCCTGTCTGACTGCCTATAATATTTCTATCTAATTTAGCTGCCTACAACATTGGGATTACAGGCTTCAGCCACCATACCCAGCTTGTAAATGTTTTAAAGATTTCAAATATTTTCCTCTTGGGTAGTATAGTAAAACTTCATCAGTCTAATTTGGAATTGGAGATAATGGTAAGCTTAGCTATTTACTTGGAAGGCTGAAGCAGGAGGATCACCTTAGCCCAAAAGTTCCAGGCTAGCCTTGTCAGCATAGCAAAACCCTGACTCAAAAACAAATAAATGAATGCTATCTTATGCTTTTTACCTGTTAGAAGGAGTGAAGAAATAGTGCTGTAGTCAGAAGAGTTACGTTTCATATTACCAATGATGTTTGTTTCTTTAAAGCTTTCATATATTAATTCCTTCCAGGTAATACAGTAAAACTTCAGCAGTGTAATTTGACATTGAAGATAATGGTACAGCAGTTGCTAGCATTTATGTGGAAACTCTTTATTCTTTAAAATATAATAGGTTTCTTTAGGCAGGGCTTTGGACTTTGCGAAGTAGTGGGTAGATAATGTAATATAACCTTGGGGTAATTCAGTCTGGAGATACAGATAATATAAGTGCTTCAGGAATTTAAATTCATGATCAGGTGATGTAAGTGGATAAAGACCCATGACTGGTTAAGCCTCAAAACCACTTTTTTTGTTTGTTTGTTTTAAATTTTCCTCCACCCCTTTCTTTTGGTACAGTTGATTAAACCCAGGGCCTGAAACAAAGTAAGCGCTCGTCATTAAGCTACATCTGCAGTCTGTCTATCGTCCGTCCGTCCGTCCTTCCTTCCTTCCTTCCATCCATCCTTCCTTCCTTCCTTCTTTCTTTCCCTCCTCCTTCTTCTCCTTCTCTTTCTTCTTTTCTCTTTTCTTTCTCTCTGTCTCTGTCTCTGTCTGTCTCTCTCTCTCTCTCTCTCTCTCTCTCTCTCTCTCTCTTTTTGTTTTTTTGAGATAAGGTCTCACTATGTAGTTCAGGCTGGCCTTGAACTCACCATGTAGCCCAGACTGTCTTCACACTCATGGTAATCCTCTTGTTTCAGCCTTCTAAGTGATGGGATTACAGGCCTGCACCCCTATGCCCAACTCCCAGCCATGTTTTTGCGACAGGATCTCACTGTGTATCCATGCTAACCTCGAATTTGGCAGTCTTCCTGCCTCAGCCTCCTAAATATCTTGGATTGCAGGAAATTTGTCATTGTAACCAGCTTGTCTTGAATCTGTCTACTTGACCGCAGAGATCACCCTTCTTCTTTTTCATTTTAAAGCTGCTATTATCAGTTTTATTTGGCCAGTGGAATAAGATATTGACTTCTCAGTTTACTTGCTTTTTGCTGTTAAAACAAAATATAAGTTTTAGTTTTTAAAAAAATTTGAATGATTAGTATTATAAATCACCATGGAGGCAGAGTAAAACAAAAATAATAAGTATAGGGCAAAGGTTTAAGTTACAAAGGTTTAAGAACTCTCAACCTATTAGAGTCATATCCCTTATTTTAGTTTCTGATTTTCTTAAATATGGGGCCCGGTAAGATGGCTCAGTAGAATAAGTGCTTCTCTGGCAAGTGCAAGGGCCTGAGTTCAATCCCTGGTTCTGCCAAAGGAAAAAAAAAAAAAAAAAAAAAAAAAGTCTGATTTTCTTAAATATTCTTCTTAGACCCTTGGTGATTTTTTTTGGTCAGATCACTATTAGCAGTATTTATTTATTTATATTTATGTTTTTGGAGACAGAGCATCACTATGTCCTTCAACTCATGGCAGTCCTCCTATCTCACCCTCCCAAGAGGTATGCACCACCATACCTAGCTGTATCAGCAGTATTTCTAACATCATTTAATGTGCAGTTAGAATGAAATACGAATTGTAAGTTACTGGAAATTTATAAAAGCCACTGCTTGAAAACCACCCCGGGACCTCATCTCTCTGATAAGATACAAAACTATACATTTTCAAAAGCATACCCTGTTAATTCTGACACTGTGCTCTGTGGGCCACATTTTAAGTAACTCTTAGCTAGATGTTTGGAAGTTACTGGTATAGAATTGACAGCTGAGACTGTACAGATGAATAAGATCTTTAAAGAGGCGTGTGTGTGTGTGTGTGTGTGTGTGTGTGTGTGTGTATGTATACTTGGAGAGGGACCAGCCTAGGATATAAGAATAGTGCAGTGTCATAGAGTATAGCTTTGTGGAGAGGGTAGGTGGTTGTCTCTATGTTGAGGTCAGGGAAAAATTGGGAGTCCAAAGGTTATTTGAGGTGGTCTTCCAGAATATCTGCTTTATTTGAGTGGAGTGTATATTTCTTGGATCATCTGACTTCTGAGCTTCAGAATCATAAATTCAATCACCTATCTAATGTCTCCATGTGAATATCTGATAGGTATTTCAAACAGGGGGACCAATTAGGAATAACCTAAGTTATAGTTGATAGTATCTTGCA